CTTAGGAAATGTTACTGGTCTCACTGTCACAAATACTGGCTGTGCTGACATTTTGGGGGCATCCTTCAGATAATGATCCAGTGACATGCATGTTTTGTCTTTCCAACAACCTGTACTGACTACTGACCCCTGTCAATATGCAGGTTATTTATAACCCCTCATAATGTGCCACCTCAGATCCTCTCTGCCCCACCCATCTCTAGGGCAAGACCACTTTTTCCATCTCAGCTGCCACTGCAACAACCAATTCTGGTGGGTTGCAGCCAGCATGCATCTGCTTGTTGCAGCCTGCTAGGCACGTCACAGTGGCAGGGTGGCTGGTACCTGCACAGAGCTAACTTTTGGTTATGGGAAGCAGAAGCCAGCAGATGAATTCTGATCTTAGTCCATTTCTCAGCAGAAACCACAGGGACCCTCGGGGTAGGAAGGGATGATGCTTCGAGGTGAAGCATCATTTGCATGTGATACTAAGTGGTTGCTGTTAGCCCTCCTTTCCTACTCTACCCCTCTTTCCTCTCATCCTGTTTCCCTGGCTGCACTCTTCAATCAAGCGGTAGCTCATAAGCTTCCACTTTCTGAGAAATTCAGGCTAAGACCTGGTTACTATTACTATTTTCACAATGTAACTGGAGTGAAATACAAGGTTTTTGGACCTCATTAGAAAGTCAGCCTGTGTAACACCTGCCTCCTACACTAGACTGAACCATTCATTTTGGTGTCCCCAGTGTGGAAAATCATGTTTGAATTATTTAGCAAGCTCCATTCTTCCCTTATTCTTTTCAATAAAATCAATCACATTAGGAGGGTGCTGTTTCTGGATACGTGAATATTCTGCTGCATGTGGTTTTTAACCTTGGTACCATCTTTTTCAAACTGATGTTTTTCAAACTCAGTACTATCCTTTTCAGAGCAGTTACTTTCCTAAATGTATAATTCAATGAGTTTAATAAGTGGATATAATCATAAAACCACCACCAAAATCAATTTACAGAATTACTTCCCTGGCCAGGTGCAGTGGCTTATGCCTATAATTTCAGCACTTTGGGAAGCTGAGGCAGGAGGATCACTTGAGATCAGGAGTTCGAGACCAGCCTGGCCAACATGGAGAAACCCTGTCTCCACTAAAAATACAAAGATTAGCTGGGTGTGGTGGTGCATGCCTGTAATGCCAGCTAGTCAGGAGGCTGAGGCAGGAAAATCATTTGAACCCAGGAGGTGGAGGTTGCAGTGAGCCGAGATTGCACCACTGCACTCCAGCCTGCGTTACAGACTGAGACTCCATCTCAAATAATAATAATAATAATAATAATTTCCTCACCACAAAAAGTTGCATCATGCCCTTGGCAATCCATCCGCTCCCAAACCCAGACCCAGCTTTCTGCCACTGTGCTGCTGCCTTTCCTGGAGGTCAAATAAAACTTCAAGTATTTCTTCTTTTGTGCCTGGCTTCCTTTACTTACCCAATGCTTTCAAATTCAGCTACGTGATTTCCTGTGTCAGTACTTTAATACTCACTCGGATTCCACTGTGTGGATGCAACAGGATGTTGATCCATCCTCTTCAATGGAGGGTTGGTTCATTTCTACTTTCTGGTTATTTTACATAAAGCTGCATTAGCGTTGCTTGTCACCTCTGGACTGGCCTGGAGTTGGACTCCCAGGCAGCCCTGGGTAGAGATGGGTCCTGGGAGTAGGAAAGGCCAGGATCTGATGACAACTGGCAACCACAGGACTAGAGCTCCAGTTTCTTTTTGAAAAGGTCTCTCTGGCTGCCACACAGGAATGATACCTTGTCTAGGGTGGTGTCAACATGAAAGGGGATGTATGTGGCACTACAGCAATTCCAGTTGCTCTTCCAGCCCTCAGCCTCCAGGTTCACTCAGTGACCATGAGTGGAAATAGATAATTAAGATTAGTCATGGCCGGGTGGGGTGGCTTATATCTGTAATCCCAGCACTTTGGGAGGGCGAGGCAAGAGGATTGCTTGAGCTCAGAAATTCAAGACCAGCCTGGCAACATGGCAAAATCCCGTCTCTACAAAAATTACAAAGATTAGCTGAGTATAATGGCACACGCCTAGCTACTTGGGAGGCTGAGGTGGGAGAATGGCTGGAGCCCAGGAGGTTGACGCTGCAGTGAGCTGTGATTGCACCACTGTACTCCACGTGGGTGACAGAGTGAGACCATATCTCAGAGGAAAAAAAAGAAGATTAGTCATAACAGCACAAAAGGAAATGAGCAGACAAGATAAGGATCCATCCATTCAAAAGTCAGGGCGGATTGCTGTGATTACCTTGAGCCCTCAGGACAGATTTGAGGACCAACCCAGAGGTCTTGAAATGGAGAGAAAATCAAGCTTAGTCTTGATGGACACCATCACCTTAAAGCATTTATCACAGTTACTAGTTGCATTTTTGTGATTTCTTTTTTAGAAATGCTTATTTCCTAGTAGAATATCATTCCATTCCACTTGTATCCTATAATCAGTGACATCTGATTACTGGTTTCTATATGTTCGAGACCAGTCTCCTGGGCAGGTTTTGGAGACAGCCTCTTCTCAACACTGCTGAGGAGTGTGGGACATCCCTGTAAACATGAGACCTAATTCTTGCTGCTCCAGGAACTACAACTAGAGGCTGTCACAACAACTATCGTCCCTCAGGCTGGGCTCTGGGCTCAACATGTAGTCCTGATAGCTAGGCCACAAGATTTGGCCCACAGAACTCTGTACTCTTTCAAAGAAGCTCTTGGGCAACAATGCAAATGAGACCACACCTGAATTTTGACCCATTCCCTACCATTCTGCTGTCCTCTGAAGCAAAGTCAGGACTTCCCAAAAAGGCTTTCCCTTGCCTATTAAACTATCGCCAGTAAATGACCGTGACAAAGCACCAACGGAAGCTCATGCCTTGGGAACCCAAGTGGCTCTGCACTTGCTGCTTAAGGCCAGCAGTGCCTGATGCTGTTCTCAATCCATCCCATGCAATGAACAGAAACCCCAGGACTGAAGTGGCTTAAACTCTTTTTCGCACAATCCAGGGCAGGGTAAGGCAGGCAAGTCCTGGACTAGACGGGTTGAAAACTCAATGGGTCTCACACAGACATCATGTGTGGGGCCAACAATATCTATGAAAAAGGGCAATCATCTCTGGAAGCGCTGAGACCCCATCTCAGGTGCTTTCAGCCAAGGCTGGATCATGTCCATACCTAATCTGTCAATGGGGAGGCAGTGAGGACCCCCAAAGGGCTTAAACAGGGTGGTTACTTTTTTAGCTTGTTATGTAGAATTCAAAAAAGCAGATTCAGTAAAGGCTCTAGGGTAGACTGAAAAGGGCCCTCCAAAAGACCCACATCCTATTCCCTGGAACCTGTGAACGTTTCCTCATTTGGCAAAGCCTTTGCAGATGTGATTAAAGTACAGGTCCTGAGATGTGCAGATGATCCTGGATTATCTGGGTGGTCCCTGAATGCAATCACATGTATCCTTACAGGAAGGAGACAGAGGCAGACTTCACATACACAGAGGAGAGGGCGATGTGAAGATAGAACAGAGAGATTTGAAAATGCTGGCCCTGAAAATTTTGGTGATGTGATCACAAGCCACCAGAAGCTGGAAGAGGAAGGGAATAAATGCCCCATGGAGCCTCTGAAGGGAGCTTGGCCCTGCTGACACTTTGATTTCAGTGCAGTGTTACTGATTTCAGACACCTGGCCTCCAGAATTGTGAGAGAATACATTTGTATTGTTTTTAAGCCACCAAATTTGTGTAATTTGGTATAGTAGCCACAGGAAACCAGAACAGCTTCTTCTTAAAAAGGGCCTGGGTAATATACCAAAAAAATTAGCTAGGCATGATGGTGTGCACCTGTAGTCCCAGCTACTTAGGAGGCTGAAGTGGGAGGACTGCTTGCGCCTAGGAGGTTGCAGCTGCAGTGAGCTATGATCATGCCACTGCACCCCAGTCTGGGCAACAGAATGAGACCCCGTCTCAAAAATAAAGAAAAACGTCCTCCAAGGTCACCCAACTCAGCCCTTCATGGCTACAGTCTGCCTTTTTCAGCATTTCTCCTTCCTATATGCCTACTGCCAACTCAGACTCTGCTTTCTAATGATGCTCAGAAATCTGGTAGTTAACCAAAGTTAGACTGTGAGAACAGCAATTATAAATAAAACCTCATCTTCCAGGAAAGAACGTTAGGATCTAGCTGACCCTTCATGCTGACCTCCCAGCCCTCACCCAGGCCGAGCACTTTCCAACAGCTCAGTGTGTCTCAAAATGCTGTCCAAGGACTGCCTGTATTGAATCACCTGGGGCACTTGTTTAAGATGTAAAGGACTCCATCCCAGACTCGCCAAATAAAAAGTTTAGGGGTGAGGTGCAGAAATCTGCACTTTTTTTTTTTGAGACGGAGTTTTGCTCAGGCTGGAGTGCAATGGCACAACCTCAGCTCACTGCAACCTCTGCCTCCCAGATTCAAGTGACTCTCCTGCCTCAGCCTCCCAAGTAGCTGGGATTACAGGCACCTGCCACCACACTCAGCTAAGTTTTTGTATTTTTAGAAGAGACAGGGTTTCACCAGGTTGGCCAGTCTGGTCTCCAACTCCTGACCTCAGGTGATCCACCCGTCTTGGCCCTCCCAAAGTGCTGGGATTACAGGCGTGCCCGGCCTGAAATCTGCACTTTTAACAAGCATCCCAAATGACTGTTAACACACCGACTCTCAAGAACCTCCACTAGAGAAGGAGTCAGAAGTGACCCAACAGTACTTCTCCCTGTGGCTCGATGGCGAAGCCTCTGACCCTAGGCCAAGTGCTAAACTTCTCTGGGGAAAGCTACTGCCACGGCTCCTGGTACTGGGTGCTTGTGATGAATGCCAGGCAGAGCTCATAGAGAAAAGAGTCTTGTCCCCTCATGCTTTTCATGCTGCAAAACAGTTGCAAAGGCATTCCAGGAGTTGGGGACCACAAATTCTTTTGAGAACATGTGTCACGATTAGGCAATTCATGTTAACTTTTTAATTAAAAAGACCATCACTAAAAAGTAATAGTTTACAAATGCATGTACCTTTTGATCCCGCAATCCCACTTTTGGGAATTTATCCTAGAGATACATTTTATGCTTGTACATTTGTACAAGATTATTCACTGCAGAGCTGATTGTCATTGCAAAAGACTAGAAACAATTCAAATGCTCATCATTGTGGAAGTGGTGAAATAAATTATAATACATTTATACAATGAAAAAAATGAAGAAATGGCAGATGAATTGATATGGAAATGTCTCCAAGATAGATTGTTAAGGGAAAAGGGTGAAGAACATGCGTATAACATGCTAACTTTTGTGTATAAAAAGAGAATGTGAGACTCTACATTCCCGTTTACTTGTATATTCATAAAGAAATGCTGGATGTATGAATGTGAACAGTGGCTACCTCTGGGCCCGGGTAAACAGGAGCTGAGCAGGTGGGGAATAAGGATTGGAGGGAGACTTTTCACTCTACATATGATTATAACGTTTGGGTTTGGAACCATGTGAGTGTATTATTTATTCAAGAAATAATAAATTTTTCATATTATTGTATTATTTCCTGAATAAATAGTATAATAAAATATAAAACATACATTCACTGTGACCCTCTGCACAAGCTATCTGGTTGTGGTTCAGTTCCAGTTCCCCACGTCTGGGAGTCTTGGTGTCCTCTGCTAGGCTTGGTACCTGTATAGAGCTCTTCAGACTGGGTGTTGCAGAGGCCAGCACCATTCCTGATGTCACCCTGGGTGAAATGTAGTGCTCAGAGCAGAATGCAGATTTCCTTTTTTGTCTTTTTCCTTCTTCCACATGTTCTAAGAAAATGTCAATTTCCATTGTCCAAAGTGACAGCAAGAGGATGGGTCTTTCGTTTCTCATGTAGGAGAAGCAGCCCACAAAGGTTCCAGGATTGGGTCCACTGTGCATGGGACAGCTCCCTGCACTGCATCTAGTAGTGAGGCGTCAGCGGCTCCCGACTCATGAGGAAGGAGTGGTGGTAGCGATCCCGAGTGGCGAAGTCCGCATTCTCCTGGGTGAGCTGAGTCATCTCCATGTCAACCTTAGCCAGGGATGGTGCCAAGATGATCTGCTCCTGAGGGGACCGCAAGCTCCTGCCATGAGACACACAGAGGATGGTGAGAAGGACAGAAGAGAGACTGAACATGAAGGTGAGTCTATCAGGCACAGAGACATTATTTGCAGACACACATGTATTTAAATGCTTAAAACATAATTGTTGAAAGTTCTTGTATATTATTGTACATATACTATATGTATACATATATGTACAAGAATATATGAACTCAAAGCATGAGAAATACAAAGTATCCAATAGAGAGAGAGAGTATGTGATATTTACCCTAAGTAGAAAAGCATAAAGCTATACCTACCTGATAGGAAATAACTGATAATGAGAGGTGTTGCCTTCCAAATGGCATCATGTTGGGGCTCTGTAGCTTTTCTTTGTCCTTGTCAAATGAAAAATAATGAAATGGAGAGGCTGGAAAATTGAGAAAAGTGGAAAGAGAAACCTTCTCGTAGATTTATTGATAAGAAAATTGAATAAGGATAAATGATTTCAAGAGCTAAGGCTCACAGAGCAAGCAGTGAAGAGGAATGGCAAAGGCTTTTGACACCCAGGCGGCCTAAGTGAAGAGCAAGTCCCACATAGATTCCACTGTCACAGGAGTCGCTGCATACAGTTTGAGGTGGGATAAACTGGGAAGGAAAAATGTTAGGGATGCATCGGGGAAGTGCTAAGAGGAAGAAACGCGTGAGGAAAGCTCAGGCTGGCTGTCCAGGCAGCTTCAGAAGGCAGATCCAGTCACAGCTCTGTCCCCAATCAACTTGGTGGCCTCCGGAAGCCTCTTTACCTCCTTGTGTCTCTATTTTCTCATCTTGCTGGGTCCCTTCCAGTTCTTACAGTCTGTGTTAGGTCCTTAAGTCATACCTTAGGCATGGATTTCCTCTGAAAATCTTTACTCCAAAAGAATCATGTACTTTATGAGTAGTAAGGTGCAATGATTTGAATATGGACTATATTTGAGAGTTGTGAAAAGGCAGACATCTAATGTTATAGATCTGTGGAACTTCAATGGCCAGACATCCTGCTATAGAAGTTTAGATCACATGACTATGGCATTACAGCCACTCGTTGAGAACCTGTATAAATTATATAGGTCTCTGAGGGTTCTTGAGAACTGAATTAATTTCTATAAAGCCTGAATCTCCAAAAAGGTTTGGAGGTGACAACAATGCCATACCAGTCAACATGTAAGTGTTTTTGCTGATGTTTTGATTTTTTTAGGTGAAACCATTACATTCTTCTGAGTCTGTAGAAATAATGTACTTCACTCTCTAGTCTAGATTGGCTTACACATCCTCATTTGGACAATGGCAGGTGCTTCAATAAAGAACGCCTTCTCAATGACAGGCTCAACTTCACATAGTTCATGGGAATTGTAGGCATAACACAGCAAGTAACCTAGCCAAATTCTTCTGCCAAAACACATTCTGCTTTCTTCTTCTTTTTTGGTTTTGAAGAGCATTTGGGGATTATACTTGGGGATTGGGAAGGGAACTCAAAATTACAAAGTAGAAACACAGCTACCAATCTCTATTTTTATTTTATTTTTTGAGACAGAGTCTCGCTCTATAACCCAAGCTGGAGTACAGTGGTTGATCTCAGCTCACTGCAACTTCTGTCTCCCAGGTTCAAGCAATTCTCAAACCTCAGCCTCCCAAGTAGATGGGACTACAGGTGGGCACCACCACACCCAACTAATCTTGTATTTTTAGTAGAGACGGTGTTTTGCCATGTTGCTGAGGCTGGTCTTGAACTCTTGGCCTAAGTAATCAGCTTGCCTCAGCTTCCCAAACTGCTGGGATTACAGGTATGAACCAGCACATCTGGCCAATCTCTATTATTGTTTTTTTGTTTGCTTGTTTTGAGACAGGGTCTTATTCTATTGCTAAGGCTGGAGTGCAGTGGCACAATCTCAGCTCATTGCAATCTCCACCTCCCAGGTTCAAGCGATTCTCCTGCCTCAGCCTCCACAGTAGCTGGGACTATATGCACCTGTCACCATGCCCAGCTAATTTTTGTATTTTTAATAGAAATGGTGTTTTGCTATGTTGGCCAGGATGGTCTCAAACTCCTGACCTCAGGTGATCCATCTGCCTCAGCTTCTCAAAGTACTGGGATTACAGGCATGAGCCACTGTGCCTGGCCTTTCTTGGTTCTTTCAACCTCCTGAATAACCATCCCCAAATATCACCCAGCAGCCATGGTGAGGCCAACAAGTTTGATGTTGACTTAGCTGAGGCCTCTGCCACCTACCTCATAGCCCACAGAGCCTGGTGTTTGTGTTATGAATGGTGTGGACTGAGTCTACGCCAACAAAAATACTGTCCTTTTCTAAGAATAATCTCCCCCTGGTACATTCTTCTTTCTACATCACACTGCTGTGACCTCCAAGCTGAAATCCCAGGAATTCAGAGTGCAACATAAGGAGTAGTGACCTCCTATGGCATTTTTAGGCTTTAAAACCAGAAATGACTAAAAATATTCTTGTAAATCAGGCAAAGCAAAATAGTCTCACCCACACACCACTTGCAGCTCCAGAATCTGTAGGCAGCTTTTACACAGAATCTATTTCCATTTAAACTCTACCCTTTCTCAGGACTGGGTTGTAGGGGAGAAGAGATCAGTGTAGATGTGTTATGACCTAGGCCACCCAACCTTAGAAGCAGAGAGATCACTCACCCTCCCTGCAGCTCCACACGGGACATTGAGCCCAGCTGGCCCAAGCAATGGCAGGGTGCTCCCCATGCACCCCAGCCTCCAGCCCTGGGCCCTCTCCCTGTTGGTTTCTACAGCCCTTGCTGCTGCTTCTTGTCATCCCAAGCTCCAGCATGAAGGCTTTATTCCTTGTGCCATCTTAAATAGATTGTCAGTGTTCATGAAGAGTTGTCTTAAAAAGGATTCTTGGAATGGAGAGTTAGTATTTAATGGGTATGGTGATGGTAGCACAGCAATGTGAATGTCCTTAGTGCCACTGAACTGCACACTGCACATAAACATGGTTTATGTTTAACCATAAACATGGTTAAACAGTACATCTCATGTTACATGTATTTTATTTATTTATTTATTTATTTTGAGACAGTCTTATTTTGTCAACTAGCTGGAGTGCAGTGGCACGATCTTGGCTCACTGCAACCTCCACCTCCTGGATTCAAGCAATTCTTCTGCCTCAGCCTCCCTAGAAGCTGGGATTATAGACATGCCACCATGCCCGGCTAATTTTGTATTTTTTGTAGAGATGGGGTTTCACCATGTTGGCCAGGCTGGTCTTTAACTCCCGACATCAGATGATCTTCCTACCTCCCAAAGTGCTGGAATTACAGGCATGAGCCACTGCACCCAGCCCTATTTTACCATAATTTTTTAAATGAGGTGGGGGAAAGCATTATGAAGTTACATCTGGGCTCAGTGGGAAAGGTTCCCATGATCTGCTAGCAATGTTTGGACACGGAGGGTGGAAATATTAGCAAGTACAACTTAGACATCTAAAATTTCAAAAACAAACCAACAAAATGTAACCAAATGAAGACTCGGTTGGGTTCTGCCTAGATTTTCCTAGCCTGTAGCTCTAGCTCCTCACTGATATTGAGAGGGGACAGAAGGGTGGGTATAATGCCCCAGACTCCCAAGCCTTAAAAGATAAGAAGCATTGGTACTGCAGGAGCAGAGGAGGAGGAGTGAGATTAGGACACGTGTATAATATACCTTCTCTATGAGGCTTCTATTTCTCAGGAGGTTTTTTTTTTTTCCTGTTTCCTATATAACTGACCATGGGGATTCCATAGAAATCTTCAGGATCTCCACTTCCTTTCTGTATTTGGCTTCTGCACTGTCCCCAATCCAGTAATGTCAACTACTCTTGACTCAGATGGAAAAATGTGCATCTTGGCGTGACATTTCCCTTGGGCTTTAATCTTGTGGGTGATTATGCATTGATGCTAATGTGTCTTGGACTGTAAACTGACTGAGAGGAGAGTAGTGACTTACCACCCCAGCAACCAGATTCTAAATAAAGCCTCTGTTCTTGATGACTGAGGATAAGAAGGAAAGAGGACATGAGCCTAAGGGAAGCTTCTGATGAGCTGAATCTGGGGGCTGAGTGTGGTGGAGCATAGATGGGAGCAACATCTGAGTCTCCCGGAGGTTCCCATGCCACAATCCAGGCCCAAGCCCAGCCAGGAATGAGACACCCTGGGCACCTTCCAGGACTCTGGATACTCATCCATTCTGGTACAGACCTGCAGGAGGGGATCAAGAGAGACCTCATCCACCGGAAAAAGCTGAAGTTGGAGGCTGATCCTGCAAGGAAGACATATACATAACCATTTTTGAAGGTTCTACATATGCATCTAGAAGCTCAGTTTTAATGCATACCCCAGTACATACACATGCACAGGACTCACACTTACATTTGCCTTTTCAGTCTAACCAAACAGTGTGCACTGTTTAGTTAGACTGTAATCCTCCATGACAGCAGCCTACTAAGGACTTTTACTCATGTGAGTCTTTCAAAAATTTATTTCTAAACTCCAAAATCACTCCCAAAAAACTGGACAAAGTGCTATAAAGAAAAATGCAGAGTTGCTAACTTCAGTCTTAGGAATTAACAAATTTTGATAATTTTTTTAGGATTCATACTCATAAGTGTTGAATACACCCTATGAAAGTTTTCTACTAGACCATACAGTCATTGAGAATAGAGAACATGTCTTTTTCATCCCTATAATCCTCACAGTACCTCACAGGATCTGGCACTTAGGAATTTTTTTAACAGATGTTAAGTGAATCAAATAGTTCCATATGGAGAAATGTTAGAGCTGAGGTTTGAAGTAACATTGTAGTTGATTCTAGCCAAATAATCCTGATATCAAACACACTTATTTGATTAGGGTTTATCAATTTAAAAAAATCCATCCCTCTTTTGGTGTAGGTTTAAAAAAAATTCACATAGTAAATTATATATAACTTTAGAGAAACAAATCAAATGTGATTTTAGAAAATGCTTTTCTAGGCTGGGTGTGGTGGCTCATGTCTGTCATCCCAGCACTTTGGGAGGCCAAGGTGGGCTGATCACAAGGTCAGGAGATCAAGAGCATCCTGGCCAACATGGTGAAATACTGTCTCTGCTAAAAATACAAAAATTGCCAGGCATGGTGGTGCACACCTGTAGTCCCAGATACTCAGGAGGCCGAGGCAGGAGAATTGCTTGAACCCAGGAGGCGGAGGCTGCAGTGAGCTGAGATCACATCACTGCACTCCAGCCTGGATGACAAAGTGAGACTCTGTCTCAAAAAAACAGAAAATGCTTTGTTAAATTATATAGACGTATGATTAAAAATTGATTAATTAGATAATGTTCATATATGATCAGGAAAATAGCATTATTTTAAGAGGCTTATGTTAGAATCTTCACAAATATCAACAGTATGCAGCTGATAACCTGTTCCCTCAATATCATTTAGGTCCTTATGGCTAAAGAGAAGATAAATTTTAGATTTGCATTAGTATCTGCAATTGTAAAGAGAAGATTTCTAATATATTTTGAGATTGTCAGAAGGAAGAACATAAACATTTTATTAACTGACCCTACTTAAATGGGGTAATTTAAATTCTAAATAATTTAAATTTGATGAACATTGGTCTGAAATTTGATTTCATGTTTTCTTATGAATAGATTTCTAGAAAATATTTAAATATTTAAATTTAAATTTCTTAGGAAACTTTTAAGAAACACAGAAGCAATCACTGAAATAATCACTGTTAATTAAAATATATTCTACATTAATATAATTAAAATACAAAATATATTCTATGCATGAAGTCAGCTAACATAAGGACCTTTTCTTAACATTACTGTTTTTTCTAAATTATTTTTTTAAATATACAAATGACTTAAAATGTTTGAAATGCATCATTCAGAAGAACTTTGTGTGTTTTTTTTTTTAATTTGTCTAGATAGTTATGGGCCATCTGATTTAGTTAGTAGTGGTAACAAATTGCTTTATTTTAAATTGGGGCATCATAAAATTTTGCTGAAAAGGGTTCTCAACATATTTTTAAACAGCTTTATTATTGAGGAATAATTGATTTGCAATAAACTGTATATTGACTATATTTTCTTGTTTTCTATATTCTGGATGCTCTCGCATTTTGACCCTTGATCCTGGAGGGTCTAGCTAATTCCTAGATACTGAATAGCAAACAATTCCCCTGTAAGTGGGTTTTTGATATACAAACCAACCAATCCAGGGCCCACCCTTAATTTAGTTCTTTATCAAATCTCAAACACCAAGCCAGTATTCCCCCTGCCCTAAATCACACCAAGACCAGACAACTATAGATCATCCCTATAGCCCAGAGCCTGCTGAAATCACTTGAATTATTCAGTCCTAACCTCACTCAGTGTACCTACCCTGCCTTGCTCATTCCTTTCCACAAAAAACCCAAAAAGGCTCTAGGCCATGGTCTCCCCTCTTCCTCTTCTGCCCCATGACTAACGCTTGTCCATTCCCACGTGGCCCTGCATGGCATGCCAAGCCTCCTGTTTCTAATGACCTTCCTCCTTCATGACAGTCGTTTCCATGTCTGTGTATGTTTTACCACACCTGATTAAAACAAATCCTGGGTACATATGCAGAAGGAACTGCATGTAAAGAACATAACTTACAATGATTCTTTATGACTGGGTTATCAGGACATAATCCCACCATTAAGTCAAGGAGTATCTATATCTAAAGTATACTATTTGGTCTGTGTGTGTATATATACACACATCTAACCGTATATACACTGTGAAATCATCACACAAGTAAGATAATGAACATGTCTAGCACCTCCAAAAGTTTCCTCAAGCCACTTCATTAGATCTCTCTCCCATGTATCCTTACTTCACTCCCACCCAAAAGTATCCACTGATCTGCTATCACTATAAATTAAAGCCGGCCTTACCAGGATTTTTTGAAGGTCAGAAGTCCTTAATTTTGATAAAGTCCAATTTATAATTTTTTTCATGCTTCTGTTGTATTTAAGATATCTTTGCTAACTCAGTCACAAAGGTTTTCTCTTACATTTTCTTCTAGAAATTGTATAGGTTTAGGCTTCACATTTAGTTCTAATATCCATTTTGAGTTATATATTTATATGGTATGATATATGGGTGGAAGTCTACTTTCTGCTTATGGCTTTGTGGTTGTTTCAGTGCCATTCGTTGAAAGAATATTTTTTCCTTCCACTGAATTACCTTGGAAACTTTTTCAAAAAGCAGTTGGCCATACGTGTGGTCAGTTTCCAAACCCTCTACTCTGTCCATTGATTCACTTGTCTAGCTTTTCCACAGCACACTGTCTTGATGACTTTAGCTTTAAAATCAGTCTTGAAATCAGGAAGTGCAAGTCTTACAACTTCATTCTTGTTTTACACAATTAGTTGGGCTACTAGGTCCTTTGCATTTCCATATAAATATTTTAGAATCTGATTGACAGTTTCTATAAAAAGGCAACTGAGATTTTGACTGGGATTATATTAAATCTATAAAAAAATTGGGGATAATTGGAAATTTAAGAATATTAAGTCTTCCCATTCACGAACATAGTATATCTCTTCATTTATTTCTTTGATTTACTCTTTGATTTTTTCCAGAAATGCTTTCTCATCTGTAAACAAGTGAATTACACTGATTAACTTCAAATGCTAGATGAACCTTGCATCCCTGTAATAAACCCACTTGACCAGGGTATATTATTCTTTTTACATATTATTGCAATCAATTTGTTAACATTTTATTTAGAATTTTTGCATCTATATTCATGAGATATGTTAGTGTATAGTTTTCCAAAGAGTTTGTATAGAGTTAGTATTTATTCTTCCTTATTTGGTTGAATTTATCAGTAAAGCTATCTGGACCTAGGCTTTTCTCTCTGGGAAGGTTTTCAATGACCAGTTTAATTTCTTTAATAGATGAGCTGAATAATCCTGTATCTATTTCTTCTTGAGTGAGCTTGGTAGTTTGTATCTTTCAAGAAATTTGTCCAATTCATCTAAGTTTTCAATTGATCAAGAGAAACCTGTTTACATTATTCCTTTATTTCACTTCTAATATCTTTAAGGTTTCTAATGATGTCATCTCACTCGTTTCTGGCTTTGGTAATTTGTGCTGCTGCTTCTTTTATTTCGATCAGTCTGGCTACAGGTTTATCAATTTTACTGATCTCACATAATCAGTTTTTTGCTTCATTTGTATTCTCTAATTTTTTTCCATTTTATATTTTGTTAATTTCCACACTGATCTACTCTGATTTATTTCCTTTTTTTCCTTCTTACTGTGGGTTTAATTTGCTCTTCTTTCCTAGTTTCTTAAGTTGGATGTTGGGATCATTGATTTGTGAATACTCCTCTTTTCTAATGTAAGCATTTGACGCTGTAAATTTCCCTTAGCTATATCCCACAGTTTTGCTCTGTTGCATTTTCACTTGGATTCAGTTCAAAATACTTGTAATTTCACTCTGCTTTCTTCTTTCAATCATGGATTATTTCTTTTCTGAACTTTAATTAGGGTTAGGTAATATTCTTTAGTTTCTAAATATTTGGGGATTTTTTAAAAAATTTTTTATTTAGGAGAAAGAGTCTTGTTATTTTGCCCAGGCTAGCCTCACACTCCTGGTCTCAAGCAATTCTCCTGCATTAGCCTCCCAAGTAGCTGGGACAATAGGTGTGTGCCAACTGTGCCTGGCTTATTCAAGGATTTTCTGATATCTTTCTATTATTTATTTCTAATTACTCCCTGATTTGGTCAGAGAACATACTCTGTTCTTGAATTGACTTTGAATACTTTTAAATTTATTGAAATATTTTTATGTCCTAGAATATAGTCTCTACTGGTAAATGTTTCATGTGTAATTGAAAAGAATGTATATTCTGCTGTTAGAGGGTAGAATGTTCTGTGAATTAGTCCAGGTTTGTTGATAGTATTATCCAAATCTTCTATAGCCTTACTGATTGTATACTTGTTTGTTTTACCAATTATTAGGAAAGAGGCATTGAAATCTCTGACTATGGTTGTGAACTTTTTTATTTCTTCTTGTAGTTCTATCAGGGTTTGTTTTGCTTATTTCAAAGCTGGGTTTTTCAGTGCATAAATGTTAAGGTTTATTATGTCTTCCTTATGAGTTTTTCCCTTCAGCTTTATGAAATGATCCTCTTTATCCCTGCAATATTCTTTTCTACAAACTCTACTTTGCCTAATGTTAATGTAGCTACTCTGGCTTTGTTTTTCATTAGTGTTAGCCTGATGTATCTTTTTCCATCCTTTTACTTTAACATGGTTGTGTCTCTATACTAAAGGAGGATTCTTGCAGGCAGCATATAGTTGTGTCATGCTTTTTCATTCAATCTGACAATCTTTGGCATTCAATTAGGGTGTTTAGGCCATCTATATTTAGTATGATTATTGATATGACCCGGATTACACATACATAAACCATCTTGTTATTTGTTTTTTGCTTGCCTCATTTGTCCTCTATTATCTTTTTCTTCCTTTTCTGCCTATTTTGATTGAGTACTTTTTATCTCCTCTATCGGCTTAACTGTAACTGTTATCTGAGGTTGCTTTAGGGTTTATAGTATACATTTTAAGCTTACCACAATGTATCTTCAAGTGACGTTATAGTATTTAACAAAGTATAAGAGACTCACAATAGTATAATTTCATTTCATTCCTCCTAGCTCTTGTACTGTTGTTATACACTTTACTTCTACGTGTCTTATAAACCTCACACGGTTATTATTTTTCATTTGTAATAATTCATGTGCTTATCACAGTTCTCCTAGACTATAAACTATTTGAAAATGGGATTCACATCTGAATCAGTGTTGGCATTTAATTGGTATTCAAAACATTTTTTTCTCCCAATGAATTGTGAAGAGAATGAGGGAACCAGTGGCAAAATGGCTCTGCTGCTTACCAAGGTGAAGCCCTGGACTGGCCCGGCCAATGTAGAGATACACAACGGCAGCAACACCCATGTTAACCAGGGTATACACCCACTGTATCACAAACATGACAAGAAGGGACCCAACAGCCTGTGAAAACAGAGTAGAAACTGTATCACAAAGATGACGAGAAGGGACCCAACAGCCTATGAAAACAGAGTAGAAACTGTATCACAAAGATGACGAGAAGGGACCCAACAGCCTATGAAAACAGAGTAGAAACTGTATCACAAAGATGACGAGAAGGGACCCAACAGCCTGTGGAAACAGAGTAGAAACTGTATCACAAAGATGACGAGAAGGGACCCAACAGCCTGTGGAAACAGAGTAGAAACTGTATCACAAAGATGACGAGAAGGGACCCAACAGCCTGTGGAAACAGAGTAGAAACTGTATCACAAAGATGACGAGAAGGGACCCAACAGCCTATGAAAACAGAGTAGAAACTGTATCACAAAGATGACGAGAAGGGACCCAACAGCCTGTGGAAACAGAGTAGAAACTGTATCACAAAGATGACGAGAAGGGACCCAACAGCCTGTGGAAACAGAGTAGAAACTGTATCACAAAGATGACGAGAAGGGACCCAACAGCCTGTGGAAACAGAGTAGAAACTGTATCACAAAGATGATGAGAAGGGACCCAACAGCCTGTGGAAACAGAGTAGAAACTGTATCACAAAGATGATGAGAAGGGACCCAACAGCCTGTGGAAACAGAGTAGAAACTGTATCACAAAGATGATGAGAAGGACCCAACAGCCTGTGGAAACAGAGTAGAAACTGTATCACAAAGATGACGAGAAGGGACCCAACAGCCTGTGGAAACAGAGTAGAAACTGTATCACAAACATGATGAGAAGGGACCCAACAGCCTGTGGAAACAGAGTAGAAACTGTATCACAAAGATGATGAGAAGGGACCCAACAGCCTATGAAAACAGAGTAGAAACTGTATCACAAACATGATGAGAAGGGACCCAACAGCCTGTGGAAACAGAGTAGAAACTGTATCACAAACATGATGAGAAGGGACCCAACAGCCTGTGGAAACGTAGAAAGAGCAAATCACCTAATGGCTTTCTACATGGTAAGCAAGCCACAAGGCTAAGGTCTTCAGCACCAACAGCCCCTCTCATCAACTTCTGATCACTGTAAAAGTCTGAATAATTGAAGTTTATGAATAATTAAAAACTTCTATTAAGCAGATATTTGGGCAGACACCCTCTGAAAGTAACCCTTTAATCAGAACTATCAATAAATAGATATTCTATTGTATCCCTTTGTCCCATTTCTCCCTATAAGAAACAAATTAAAATGCAAGTATGGTAATAACTTAGTGTACCTAGAAATTTAGTAACCCAGAAGTTATCATAGACAATTATTTAAAAAGGAAATCATTGATTAAAATCAGTGGTTCATTAAATGTAATCTTGCCATATGTACTCTCACCTAAATTCTAATACAATAGGTAATTAAATCACATTACTTCTAATTAGGCCCTCCATCTTTCCTCCCCCTCAGCCCAAGATCACATATGTGATCTGAACTTTGTCCCAAGATCTGAACTTTGTCCCAAGAACAAGTGAGATCAAGATGAAGTTACTCACCCCCAACAAGGAGACCCAGGGGTTGCACATGTGGCTATAGAAAGAAGTTGGTCTTCTCCAGACATCTTGTTCTTGGAGCCTGGACTTCAGGAAGAAATCTAAAAAATAGCCAAAGATTTGACTGCCAAATTGCTACCAAACCCTCTACTATTTTTAGGAGCAAATACTATTAGCTCTTCTTCCCCAATTTTGTAATTTAGCCTAAAAGACAATTCCCAGGGCTTGCTCTTGGAGAAGAAAGAAGTGTTTATGGCCTCTCACCAGCCAAGGATCTGAGAAAGAAAGGTAAGAGAGAGAGAAAGTGGAAAGGAAGGTCCTCTGACACCCAAGGCACATCTGTCCAGATAGGTCATCTGGGAGAACTGGAAACTCAGCTCTCTCCTCTTTTTCATATGTAAGGGGTTAGAGTGGGATAACTAGACACCTGGTATATTCTTGGCTCCCAGGTGTGGCCACTGGGACTGCTGGGACAGGTTGGCTTTTGTCTAATAAGAGATGGCCTTTGCTACCTTCTGATTCTTAAAGTTAGCTCATGTTAGACCTAGCTCAGGTATCAACCAGAAATTGATGAAGGAGAGAGATGGAGGGAGAATAGTTCCTCTGATTCCTTTTCCTGGAAATTGAGGTGGCTGAGGGGGAAGGGGCCCCGTGATAAACAAATGCATGGTTCTGCCTCATCCTCCGTGGAATTCAGGCACAACAGTGCTTCTCAGAGCCATGCCATGTTCTATTCAGCTCTGGATTCTCAATTTATAGCTGGTTCCAGAAGCACTCAATTAAAAAATATTTTTTTTAATGTCATGGTAGTAAACTTTGGGCTTTTAGTGTAAACATCACCCAAATAGTGTACACTGTATCCATTAGGCAATTTCTTATCCCTCAGTCTGCCTCTTACCACCCCACTCTCCCACCTTTTCAAGTCTCCAGTGTCTATCACTCCACCCTCTGGGTCCATAGGTACACATTATTTAGCTTCTACTTATAAGTGAAAGCATGCTGCATTTGACTTTCTATTTCTGCAGAAATGCTCAATGTAGCTATGAAAATGCATCTAGATTGTGTAACAATATGGTCTAATCACCATGAACACCACAATACTGTTTCAAACAAATGATATGTTGGATTAACTTTGCAGTATGTTGATACTTCATTTCAACACTAAAACTTCAGGTGTTTTCAACCTTCATAGATCGTTGCTCAGGAAATATAGTAGATCGCTCCCTAAGTAGCCCTTCTCTAGTCTCCAATACCAAATTTCTGCTTCAGCCAAACTGCCTTGACTGTGCCATCTCCTCTGCCCAGCCCTTCCTTCTTCACCACGGTCCAGATCCTGTCTCATATACCAGTGTTCCTCCCACCTCGACCACCCTTGATGTGTTGATTCCTGGAATCTATCTGGGATCCACATCTCACGGATGGATCCCCTAGCTTATGCATCCCTCAGGTCTTGGCTCAGTTATCACTTCCTCAGAGAAATCAGCCCCCACAGTAAAATCTAAATATATTCCCTCATACTATTAATATTTCCTTATGACCCATTTCCTTCCCAGCACTTACCATCATTTGTAGTTGTATACTTATTTACATGTTTCTATGACCACTGGATTATATGCTTCATGAGGGCAGGTCCACATCCATCATGAGCCTAGGGCTTGGCATGGACTCACTAAGTATCCTAGTACAAATCTTCCATCCTGTCTGGTCACTGTGGCTTTATGACCTAGCCCTTTTGAAGCACATGCCTCACAGACTATTTCACACCTTACCCTTTATCATTGCAGTGTTTTACCAACTTGCCATTCTTCTCTTGCTTGATAAATATTTCAGCCCCTGGCTTACCATCTTTTTCTCTATTAGCATCCATTGTCATCCTTGGTGACTTCTACAAAAACAACCCATCCAAAGCCCTGCTTTCTCGATTCCTTGAAATCCTCATTCTAATAATCTTTTCTTTCACTCATCCCAACCATCAACTCCCTTAGCTGCACTTGAGGTGTGCCATTACGAGGAACCTTATACTTCCTAAATCATAACTTTAAGCAACCTACTCTTAGCCCATAACCTCCTTTAAAAACACTGTTAAGCTCATTTGCTCTGCCATTCCTCATTCCAACCATTCATAGTCTACAGAGGGAGCTTTAGATACTTTGCCTTAGTATGCTTTTTATTTCCATCACCTACCTCCCACTTTCCCTGCCCTCTTATCTAGCTTGGGTTCCACTATCCAAGACTATCAGCATTCCCCTGCAAACACATTTGCTCCCATGCTTCAGCATTACTCAGCAGCCTCATTCCTAGCCAACTCACTGTCCTACTCTATGACAGAACAAATTTACAAGCTCTCTTCTCCAAAGAGAACACTTCGTGTTCTCTTATCACCAATTCATTTGCCAAATCACTTGCATCTATACCCTCTATTCTGCCTGCCTTCCTTTCATGGTGGCTGAACAGCCTCTGATCCTACCTAAGGCCCATCCCTCCACTTGTGCCCGGATCCCATCCCTTTTGGCCTGTTCAAGGACTTTGTTTTTGCATCATCAATTTTTCTGTCCCCTACTGAATCATTCCCATCAAATACAAGTACACTGTCATCTCTGTCACCTAAACAAATGTCTACAGGTCACCCCTAGTTATTGCCCTATTTCTGTGTCTCCCTTATAGCAAACAGCCTCAAAAGTAGTTCCTATGCAGTTTCTATATCTCATTATTTCCTTAACCCACTCTTAAGATTGTATCCACCTTTCCACTAAAACTACTCTTACCAAAGTTGCCAATGATTTGAATCTTTTCAAATTCTGTGGTCAACTCCTAGTCCTCATCCCATTTGATCTTTCAGGCAGCATCTGATACATGTGATTACTTCCTCCTTCTTCAAACACTTTCTCCTCTGAGATGCCTCACTCTCTTGATTTTTCTATTTCACTGCCCACTCTCTCAGTCTTTTTTGCTGGCTTGCCTCTTCCTTCCAGACTGAAAATATTGGAGAATCCCAACATTCAGTCTTCAGCACCCCTTTATTCCATGTACACCCACTCCTAAGAGATTTCTTAGTCCCACGGCTTTAAATGCTACTGACATACTGATGACTCCAATTCTACATCATCCTTCACCTCTCCCTTGAACTTAAGTTTTGAATTAGCTCATTGTCTTCTCAATATCACCCACTAGTTGGCTAATAAGCACCTTACATTTAACATGACTAACACAGAAATCTATGTATTCTATGAAATCTGTATGCTTCATGCAATTCAGTTCTCCATTAAAGTATCATCTTCCCAGTGAGACCTTTCCTGATAAACCCGTCTGAAACACGCATCTTCCTCCCCACCCTTGTCTCTATCTCATTACTCCACTTTATTTTTCTTCCTTATACTTATCACTTATTGACATTGCAGTGTGCATTTGCTTATCATCCTTCTTCCCCTACTAGAATGGAAGTGCTCTACAACAGCAAAAACCTTCTGTGTCTAATCAGCACGTTCCCCCAGCACTTAGGACAGTGTCTGCAATGTATGAGGTGTGCCATACCTGTGGGTGAATGAATCAATCATTCTGCACCTTGAGAAAACTTCATCCCCTCAACATCTATCTGCATTCATCATGTGCCTCCAAGTATTATGCTTATCTTATTATACATCTATACCTTCAGGGATAAGGACCCTCTTTTATATTCTAAATGCCATTTAAACTTCTAGGCATTTAGAAGTTTGTGTATAGAAAGCACTTAATGCGGCCAGGTGTGGTGGCTCACGCCTGTAATCCTAGCACTTTGGGAGGCCGAGGCGGGTGGATCACAAGGTCAAGAGATCAAGACCATCCTGGTCAACATAGTGAAACCCCATCTCTACTAAAAATACAAAAAAATTAGCTGGGCATGGTGGCGCATGCCTGTAATCCCAGCTACTCAGGAGGCTGAGGCAGGAGAATTGCCTGAACCCAGGAGGCGGAGGTTGCAGTGAGCTGAGATCGCACCATTGTACTCCAGCCTGGGTAATGAGCGAAACTCCGTCTCAAAAAAAAAAAAAAAAAAAAAAGAAAGCACTTAATGCAAGTCTCCTTATTATGGATTAAAATAAAGTCTGCAAGATTGATCTGAATGGATGGCTCTTATTACTTTAAAAAAAATTCTGTTATGATTGACATTAATTAAATTGTTAAAACGATACAATTTAATTAATGGCAATCATAACAGAATTATTTTTAAAATTGAATAATTTTACCAGTTTAATTAATGGCAACATAGGCTTAGTAAAATGCAGTTGCCCCCTTAGTTATTAAGAAGAAACACTAGGCCAGGTGCGGTAGCTCACGTCTATAATCCCAGCACTTTGGGAGGCCAAGGCGGGCAGGAGTTTGAGACGAGGTCAGGAGTTTGAGACCATCCTGGCTAACATGGGAAAACCCTGTCTCTACTAAAAAAATACAAAAAATTAGCCAGGCATGGTGGCAGTGCCTGTAATCCCAGCTATTCAGGAGGCTGAGGCAGGAGAATCACTTGAACCTGGGAGGAGGAGGTTGCAGTGAGCCAAGATCGTGCCACTGCACTCAGCCTGGGAGACAGAGCGAGACACTGTCTCAAAAACACGCAAACAAAAAAACTCACCCTTTTACAACACTTGAACTTATACAACCTCAATTTTACTGAACCTAAAGGGAACTGTGTGTGTGCGTGTGTGCGTGCTCTGAGGAACTTGGGCAGAAGTAGTAGGGAGGGTTGTCCTCTAGGCAGGCACAGTGCTGTTTTATATATCAGCAATGTAAGAGAGAATTTATGCAAAGATGCTCAATGACTCTTTGAAAAGGTACTATAAAATAGACAATTAACTATTCATAATTCTGAATAGCTAGGGTTTCAAAATTCTTCCAGAGTGACTAAAGGAATTTTTTTTCTTGTCTCAGATTTTGCTAGAAAAAGCAAGCTGTCAGCCGGGCGTGGTGGCTCAAGCCTGTAATCCCAGCACTTTGGGAGGCCGAGGCGGGTGGATCACAAGGTCAAGAGATCAAGACCATCCTGGTCAACATGGTGAAACCCCGTCTCGACTAAAAAAATATACAAAAAATTAGCTGGGCATGGTGGCGTGTGCCTGTAATCCCAGCT